TTGCACACATTAAATAGGTGCAGTTTGTCATATGCCAATTATACATAAACTGTTTAAAAATAAAATAAAAAATAAAAACCATATTGTTTATTTGCTAGAGTTTCATTTTCCATTTACTCACTAAATGTGGTTAGACCCGTTATATTTAAGACTAGTGCTAGATACTATGGGCTAAGATGTATATTTAATGTTTCTTTAGTAGTTCAGAATGTGGTAGAGTTACTTAAGTCATTCTAATGCTTGGTAGACTATGAAACATTTCAAGTCCTGTGCAATTTAGGGATGAAGGAAATTACATTTATTTGAGAAGTTTGGAGAAAACCACAGGCAAAAATCACTTCTTGGCTCCCACTATTAAATTAAGTTTTAAAAAGTGGGACAGAGTACTATATCCTGTTTTCTCCCAGTTTCATTACATCTACAGTAAAGAGGAAAATGTTAATATTTATGAAGAAAAAAGATAGGCTCACATAGTAACAAGGTCCCTTTTAATAGCATATGATTGATAGTCTTTGGTTTTTCAGCATTTTCAACCTATTCAGCATTTATGATGAGCTCTTTATCTCCCTCCCCCCCTCTTTTTTTTTTTGGCTTAAAACACACATGCTGATAAAAAAAAAAAAAATTAAAAAAAAGGGGCGCCTGGGTGGCTTAGTCGGTTAAGCGTCCGACTTTCGCTTAGGTCATGATCTCGCGGTTTGTGGGTTTGAGCCCCGCGTCGGGCTCTGTGCTGACTGCCAGCTCAGAGCCTGGAGCCTGTTTCAGTCTGTGACTCCCTCTCTCTCTGACCCTCCCCTGCTCACGCTGTCTCTCTCTCTCCTAGAAATAAATAAAACATAAAAACAAAACAAAACAAAAAAAACACACACATGCTGTCTGTCCATCAAGAGCAGTCGCTCGGGGGTCCCACACCACTACTTCCATGATTTTGCAGAGACACAGAAGAGGGCCGGCTCATAAAGCTTCTCCCCAGATGTAATCCACATCTTTTCTGGTCATATTTAATGGTCAAAACAAGACACATGGCTTTGCCTAAACGAAGCTGAGTGAAGAAGTGCTATCCTGATCACATCCCCAGAACAGGACAACCAAACATTTGTGACTTCTCTGTGACAACCCCGTGGCTAGAATTGCTGATGTCCTTCTCTTTGTTCCTCTCTCTGTGGGAAATACATAAAGCACAGACCTCTCTTGTTAGTTTCCTATCACCTTCTCTCACCTCTTCCGTTTTCCAAGGAATACAAGCTTGACATAGAACAGAAAAACAAAGCTCTTGGTAGAAGAAGTAATGCTGAACTAGCGAGGCCTCTAGTGCTGGCCAGGTCAGAACCCCGACAAGAGTAAGCACAAAGGCGAACAGACTGATTCCCTGAGTTGGGAAGGATGAGGAGGGGCCCCAGGACGGCAGGAACCGAAGTCTCCGGGAATAGAACCAGGACTTGATGCGTGCCTTGATTCTTTCCCCACCGCATCTGTCTCTCATGTGTTCGCTCTGCCTCACTTCATTCTCTTCTACCTAAAGACATGTCTTTCCCGTGTGGGGAAAGATAGCCACCGGCAGCCTGAGTTCTGTGATGCCTGAGGCAGGCCACTTGCTCTTTAGGTCCACACGGAGAGAGCTCCAAGAAGCACCCTGATTGGCTCACCTTGCATCACCCTGAAACAGCGGTTGTGTTCAGGGATAGGGATACCATGATTGGCCAGGCCTGGGGCATCCAGGGAGGTGCCCATCCAGGGAGGACAGGATGCAAATTATGGGAACAAGGGGACTGAGACAAGTAAAATGACAGCTCCTCCAATATACTTAGAATTAGATATGCCTAGAGGGATCTTTTAAAATTATAAATCCAGGGGCGTCTGGGTGGCTCAGTTGGTTAAGTATCTGACTTTTGATTTTGGTTCGGGTCATGATCTCACGGTCAAAGGTCATCTCTGCACTGGGCATGGAGCCTGCTTAAAATTCTCTCTCTCTCTCTCTCTCTCTCCCCCTCTGCCCCTCCCTGCTCACATGCACACACACAATCTCTCTCAAACATTTTTAAAACTAAAAAATAAAATTATAAATCCAGTCATGTTACCTACCTCCCCCAACCCATCTACCAACTTAAAACTACTTTCTACTTTCCATTGCACTTAAAATAAAATCCAAATCAGTTCTTTGAATTTTCAGTGCATTACTACATCTGGCTTCTCCTTGCCTTTCAAATTATTTTCCCTTCTGTCACGACTCACCAACAATGCACCAGCTAGCTACAAGGGCCTTCAGTTTGATAGCCCACAGGTTAAGAAGCCTAGCTAAACCTAACCCTATGTCCCTAGCTTCACCTTGATCCCCACTCATATTTTATAGTACCAACCTCAACTAGCTTAATCACACAACCTAATCCACAGGGAATTTGTTTATTATGCATAAGAGTCATGTGGAAAATATTGCAGGTAATTTAAATCCAGTGTTAAAAATGTCACCTTGGATAGCTCCAACTCCACAAATCAGTTTCACGGTCAGCTAACCATTCTGCAGTATAGAATCTTAACTGTAAAACAGAGTAAAAACAAAATGGATTTATGTTGTTCACACACTTTCAAATAGCTCTTTGTTTATGGTCAAGGCCAAGCAGTGTGGGAGAGGACTTAGTGAACGGTCTCCGAGGCGTACTATTCACATACTGCATATTCTGAGCTTGCAGGTGGAGCGAGATGGAAGATAAGTGTTTACGTTGATTGCCACCTACACTGCACAAGTACCAGAAAGTAAAATTCCTCAAAATTGTATTGCCTGATCTGATTCCTTGAGGGAAAAAATTTTAAGCAGACTTAAGTCTACTGAGATTTTGATTAAGAAGAAAAGCACTCAGTGTTTGGGCTTTTCTGGTGTGTAGGCAGTTATAGCCGGCCATATGTTTACTTTGTAAATTCCAGTTGAGGGTGCAATATAAGCTGTTTCAGTTTGGGTGGAAGTTTTGTCAGACCTCACAAATGAGATTTGTACTCTGTTAGGAGTTTGCCAGATTTTTTGCAGGGGCTGTGGGCAGGCCCGTAGTAATTAAGGATAGTCTACTGCTCATTTGTGTTCTTAAGAGTCAATCCTGAAAAGCTCTTCCTGGCAATAGAAGGCATGATGGAATTGGAATATCATCATGTGGTGATAATTATAGTAATAACTGTTTGGGGCAAGCATCGTCGATGGAGAGGATGCTACAATTGGTGGATGAGAGTATGAGAAACAGGATATTTATGTAGTCTCAAAGTATCTCTCCACAAGATTCTTTCTTTCTTTCTTTTTAATGTTTATTTTGAGAGACAGACAGACAGAGAAGTGGGGAAGGGCAGGGAGGGAATCCCAAGCAATCTCTGTCTGCTTTCTTGGCCCAGTGTGGGTCTCAAACTCAGGAACTGTGAGATGGGTTACCTGAGCTGAAATCGCGTTGAACCGACCCAGCCACCCAGGCGCCCCTCTCCACAAGATATTTTTTAAATGCAAAGGGGAGGAAGAAGGGCAGGTACTTTGCAATAACGAATCAGATGCCATCTTGCTCAAGGGCTTCCCACTTTCGTAGGTAGGAGTGGTGAGGGGATGGAGGGTGGAGAGCGGGACACACGGCTGTCACGAGACTGGAGGCTTCTCTTGTCACTCTTTCATCTGCAAGTGTGTGAGGGTCTGTCTCTTCCCACCAGGGTTAGTCAATCCTGATTGTGTTTCTTTGTTCATTATTGAGCATCTGCCATGTGCAAACTCTGGTGGATTCAGCATTAAATAAGGCGAGCCCTTGAGCTCTAGGATCTTCCAGACAGTACTAGAGGTGAATATCCAATAAATAATTATAGCCCTCTGTATCTGTGGAAGCCAGCATGGGATGCACAGGAGTAAAAGCATCAGGAGCAGACTAGCTGATAGGAACCCTTGAGGCCAAATGGGCTCTTAAATGATTGAAAATACTTTCATATTGATTGGTAAAAAGCCACAGGCTGAGCCTCGGGCCACTTCCCCAGGATACTCTTCACTCACATGCCACGAGAGAATAATTAAAAGATTAAACCCAACCCAGCAGCGGCCTCTAAGACTGCTCTTACATTTGCTCACTCCTTTCTCATTGCCTGATCCTGCATGAGAGGTCAGAGGTGGCTTTCTGGAAAAGGTGATGCACGTGTCAAGAATGAACTGAAGTTAGCCAGGTAAAGAACAGCATCTGTTCAGGCCCCTGGCTGGGAGAGAATGTGTCACGTCTGAGAAACCCTGGGTCACTGAGGTACAGCTTCCTCTGATGCCGGGGAAGGGTGGTGACAAATGGCTTCAAGAGGTAAGCTGGGGCCAGATCAGAAAGCCTTGTATGCCCTACTGAGATACGTGAACTTGACTGGACAAGCTAGAAAATGCCTTTGAAGAAATCTGAGATGGAAAGCAACATTATTAAATTTATGTTTTAGGAAAATAGCTGTGATATTAAGTGAAGGAAAGGGACTGAGGGGCAACCCTGTCCCCCCAAACTCCCAAATCCTCTCCCAAAAATCTGTTTGCAGCTATGAAAGCAATTCAGGCCAGAGATGAGCACCTTTTCTAAAGCCGGATCAGTAGGGACATAGAGAAATGGTTGGAATCCAAAGACATTAAAAAGGTTGAATCAATAGGGCTTTGTGATTGGATTGGAGACGAACTACCTGTTATAAAATTTTAAAACTTCTGTAGCATTAGATAGAATGATTTTATCCAGAGTGACCCATTTGGTGAACCTTCTGCATATGCTTCCAGAAGTAAGAATTGATCTGGCACAGGAACTTAACACTAACTGGCTCATTTCCAATCCATTATTTTCTGAAGATGTGCAGGTAAAAATTATGCACTTTCTGGTCTTTTGACAATTATTGTGGGGTTACAGTGCAGATTTTGTTCCTTGCAGTTAAAAACAAAAGCATAAGGACAGTATGACCGTGGCTGTCGTAGGTTCCCAGTTTTAGGAAATCTGCATCCCCTTTCAGCTCTCTCTGCTGTGTACCCTGACCAGCATTTCTTGGGGGCGGCCACGTTCCCAGGATGGATCATGAAGCCGCCCAGCTGGAAAAGCAGCACGTACACGATGTATATGAGGGCACCGCACCGTACTTCAGTGACCTGCAGAGCAAAGCCTGGCCTCGCGTCCGCCAGTTCCTCCAGGAGCAGAAGCCGGGCAGCCTCATCGCTGACATAGGTAACCCTGGCGCTGTGCCATGGAGTCTGAAATACATTCTATCATGCCTTTCCTTTTCAGATTCATTTCACAGTTTTGCTCTAACCAGAAGTCTAAAATTGTGTCCTTGGCCTGCCGGTACCTAGACTATCCACTTCATAGCAGAAATTCATCAAGTCAGAAAGTAGGAAACTTCCTGAAATCTACATTTACACAATGGTGACCTTTTCAAGAGCCTCTGCACACATCCTCCCACGAAATAGACCTGATAGTGAATGAATAAATCACGACAAAAGACTGCAGGTGAAACTGACCATTTGAAATGTAGAGAGATTCACATTTGTAAATAATGTTTTGGTGGCTCACCATGAGGGGCTCTCGGGCCTTTTACAGAAGAGCCAGAATTGTGGGATTACAAAAGAAGTCCTATAACCTCTTATAAATCTCATAGATCTTTTCCTTTAACTATTCTGTAAGTCTTTCATTATTAGAGCATATCTTTAATTGGGTCATACCTTCATAATCATTGATTTGCGTGGAAGACTTTGGCTCCATGTCTTTCTGAATCAAGAAGTGGTAAACCACAACACGGTAGGTCGAAGACTAAGGTTTAAGACACGGTAAGATTTCTACTTGAGGCATGCCTACCTAAAACTGCTTTCCAGCAACTGCACGCAGGCTGTGCCCAGAAGAGTCATAAATCTGTAGTTACAAATTCCATCTGATTTGCCATTTGCTCTAAACATTTACTCTCGATATTAGCAAGAGAAACAGATGTGTGCCCAGGGCTTTTAGCATGTTAAGGATGGTATGAGCAGTGTGGAGTTTGAGGAAGGGGTGCATATCACGTAGAAATGGAGAGTCTCTGAAAAATCTATCATGTCATTTTTTAAAAAATTCAATGTGGTTTCAGAAGATACCTTGAGTTTGGAACTCTTACCAACCACAATGTTAGCACAGTGCCAGAATATTAAAATAGTAAAAGCAACCATTTAATAAGTGACTTTGGGACAACAGTATCATTACATGCTACATTCTCATATCTTATAGCAAAAATTCAAAACAAAGTGAAGACTTAGGTATAAGAAAATGAAATCATTAAAGGACTAGATGATTGACAATTAGATTATTTTTTAAAATATCCACAGAGGCCAAAGGCCCCTCTGTAACACCAAGACAAGTCAGAAATCACAAAAGAAAATGCAGTTATTATTCACAGTACCTTTGTCAAGTTTACAAAATTGCCATGAACACCGAATTTGTGAACACTACGTTAGAGCCCCCTGGGAGAAATGTAGGATTAGGATTCCTGTGAGCCTCTGGTCACAATAGTTTTGTCAACTGATCAAGACCTAACCTTGTTTCATGGGTATGTCTATTTGAAGACACATAATTTCCTATATAGTATAGATTCACTGACATTGAACTCAAGGCCAGCACACTATAACTCATGCCTGAACAAAGTTTACTTAATACGCATATCTTATCCGTAAGGCTCGTGATAGCCTTCTTGGGCTTAGGAACCGTATGCACCTTAGGGGCCTATGCTCAGGGGCCATTTTAAACAATGAAATCACTAACAGAAAGCACAAAAATGCCAGAAATATGTGGCACTAAAGAGACCACATAAAGGACACTTGTGGATAGGGTATTGATAGGGTGAGAACCAAAACAAGACATGGGTAATGGGCCCCTCAGAGGACTCAAGTTTTTCCAAATTTGTTGCTGTTTTACAAGCCAGCTTGTTGGTAACCAGCATGTAAGTGGTTGAGTATTGGCTTGGGGGTAACAAGTAAATTTTATCCAGCAGGTGAACATGCAAACACAGAACCTGTGAACAATGAAGATGGACTCTACCAATACCTTTGACTGCATAAAAATTTAAAAGTTCTACAAGGCAAAAATCTAGACAAATATATAATTGAAGTAAAAAAAGACACCAAACAACTAAGTAAAAGTATCTGTAACTCATCTGATAAAAGACTGGATAATTGTCTTCATCTCCAGAGCATTCTTCAAAGTCAGTACAAGAATATGATGAACAGTTCAAAAGAAATAATGAGGAAATGATACAAACAAACAATTCAAAAAAGGAGGAATAGCGATTGCTGAAAACTTTGTTTGATAGGTAATCCACTCACATGGCTTAGTCACAAAGGTACAGAAGGGTGTACAGTGAAAGACAGCATCCCATCCCAGACCTGCAGCACCAAGTAATCAGCAATCAGCTTCTTGGATAATTTCGAGATAGCTCACTTAAGTATAAGCATATTTGTGCATACCAGTGTATGCATGGGTGAGTTTCCTTTTTTGATACATACCATACAAATGGTGGTATGTTATACAAATTGTGAGACACCTAAACTTTTGTTTCCTTTAATATATGGTGGAGATCATTCCATATTTATACTTAGAGAACTGCCTAGTAGTAAAGCTGCATAACATTATTTCTGATAATGGCACTGTATTAACAGATATATGTTGTTTGCTATATTTTGCCACTACAAGGTATGGCATAAATAATATTCCTTAGATTCCCCTGTGCATATTCATAATTATATCCAGTAAATATTTTTTTACCCATTTGTATCTTTCAAATTTTGTGCTTTTACATTTTTTCTATTCAATAAATGAATGGTACTATTTTGATGAAACAATGACAGATGGGTTTTAAAATAAAAGTGAAGTTAAAGATGAAATAAATGAAAAAGGAAAGAGAGAAGCCCAAGGAGAGTAGAAGAAAAGAGAGCAGGATAATATGACTATCTCCAAAAGGAAATTTTTGTCTTTCCGGGTTTTCCGCTTAGCTAAACTCAATGGTTTGTTATATTGGTTAACTTGATTGGTTATTAGATTAGCAATTTATAGTTAATGACTAGTTAAGCTTTGCATAAATAATCAACATCTGGCCGTAATCAGGTTCCAGTTGCCCATACAGTAATTTTCTAGGCTGTTGTTACTACTTACGTGGTGCAACTTTTAGTTGACTAAAATTTTACTAACCACATCACCCCATTCCCCAGCCAAGCTGATTTGCTCTGATGTAGGTGAAGAGTTCCTGATGGCAACTAAGTCTTCTGGGCCAGTACCAGGAATTAAGGGAGCAGAAATTATAGCCTAAGTGAAAAGAACTTCAATGATTCAAAGACAGCAGAAATCAAAAGTACTCTCAGGAAATACTATGACCTGTTCAATCATGGCAATACCTCTACCTCAAACGGGCTCATTGCTTAAGGCCATTAGATGGTGCATGGAGTTTGTCCTAGGATTTGAGATCTTTATTTAGGTTAGTTTAGAAAACAGGAAGAAGACCAGAGCCAGATTCTTTCTGAGCAAGGTTACCTTTCTGTCTGACATCAGACACAACCATCTGCCCTAATAGTGTTAAAAATTTTATTTTTTGTGTACATAATGAAAATTAACTTTTCAATAATTAAGACTCCCTTTGCCTCTTAACTCTATGTAGTTATCCTCAATCTCTGTAGTAACATTTAATTGGCCAAGCCCTTCCCTATTTACCATTCCTTCATGGAGTCAATAAAAATGTAGAGCTCATGCTCCGTGGCAAGCACCATGCCTACAGAATAAAACATATCCCTTCAACTCTGCTTTCAAGGAATGTATATTAAATGGGAAATAAGTAGGCTTTACCACTTGTCTTTCCCATGGTAAAAGAGAATTCTCTTTCACATAAGGGTCTTAGCAAAAAAAACTCTTAATTTAAAAACTGTAGTCGTTCCTGCAAACTCGAGAGGAAACATTCAAATTAGTTATTTCTAGCAAACACTCGCCCACCATGCACCAAAACACTTCATTGAATTGAGGCAATTATCTGTTTTCTTCTGTGAGTGGGGTGCAGAATAGAAAATAGAGAGGAAATGTAAGCACGCACTTTCTGTTAGCTCTCTTCAGCACTGCAAAAGGTTATCATTTAATGAGATTTTGTAAAGCAGCATGACTCCTGTGCATGGCTTGCTGCCGTGTCAAAAATGTTTGATATACTTCTTGCACATTTAAGATAATAGGGTCACTAGGCTTGGCAGCATTCCCGATTTCCTCATTAGGGTGAAGTCTTCCCCCCTCTATCATCTCAGTGTATGCAGTTGGAAAATAAATAATTGCATCATGTTTGGGAGGTCCACCACTATGCTTCAAAGGAATGCCATCAGAAATGGAGATGGGATAAATCAAGGGTGCCATGGGCCGTAGAAGTGTTTCAGGAGATGCTGAGACTTGAAAAGTTGCCTAGTATTGCCAGGTGCTCTCTGAACACCTCCCTTTAGCTCTCATGGTCCACAACCTGTTATTTCTTTTTTTTTACTTTTTAATTCTAGAATAATCAATGTACAATGTTATATTAGTTTCAGGTGTACAATGTAGTGATTAAAAAAACCCAAAACCAGGGCACCTGGGTGGCTCAGTCGGTTAAGCATCCGACATCGGCTCAGGTCACGATCTCACAGTTCGTGCGTTCGAGCCCCATGTCAGGCTCTGGGCTGACAGCCAGCTCGGAGCCTGGAGCCTGTTTCACTCTCCATGACCCTCCCCTGCTCTCGTGCGCATGCTCTCTCAGAAATAAGTAAAAAACATTTAAAAAAAAAAAACCCAAAACCAAAAACAACCCCCAAATAACCCACAAAACAAACAAAAACAATACAGTGATTCAACAGTTCTGTACATTACTCAGCGCTCATGATGGTAAGTGTACTCTTTATCCCCTTCACCTGTTTCACCCATCCCATCTGGTAACCACCAGTTTGTCATGAACCTGTTCCGATTAGTCTAAGGTAATTTTCTTTCATTTTTCTAAATGTATCCCCTGAGCCAATTAAAAATAACAAAGCAAACAGATTTGCAAGATTCTTTTCACCTATGAGCATCATCCTTGAAATACTCAGGATTGCAATTTTAAAATACTTAGTGAATCCTATTTTCATCATAACTCCCCTCAAATATTGGTTACTTTTTCTCGTAAGTATTCTTAGGAACAATGGCTATGACATCTAAGATATTTCTAAGACCCCAATCATTTACATTAAAATAATGACACTGGAAATCTTATTTTTATTCATATACTTGTCTCAGATGGCATCATCGCGGAACTTTATGCTTTTCATGTCTCATATAATTTTGAATGGCCTATTATTTCAGAAGCAGCAAACTAATCATGCTTGAAGATTGGTAGACATTTTTTCAGGGATATCAGCTCTAATGATATTTTTAAATATTTCTGAAAAAGGAATTCACCTCTATGTCCATGTTACAGCATAACACGAGGTATCAGATCCTAGAAGGCCTTGTTTCAAGATGGTTACTCACTCCTATTACTTCCTTCCTCGTTGTAATATCAGATCTGATTGATCTAGATCTCTGGGTTGTGTAAATACTGAATGACTTGGGTCTCTGCCAAATTAATGCCATAAATGGTCTGTTTAAGAAAAAAAATAGCTCAGAGAGTTGTATACTGAGTCAATAGAGATCATTCAAAACCTAGAATGGACAACAGATTGGATAACTCCTGTTTCAAAACCTAGAACAGACAGGGGCGCCTGGGTGGTTCAGTCAGTTGGGCATCTGACTTCGGCTCAGGTCATGATCTCATGGTTCGTGGATTTGAGCGCCGTGTCAGGCTTTGTGCTGACACCTCAGAGCCTGGAGCCTGCTTCAGATTCTGTGTCTCCCTCTCTCTCTCTCTCTGACCCTCCCCTGCTCACGCTGTCTCCCTCTCTCAGAAATAAAAACATTAAAAAAAACCAAAAAACCTAGAACGGACAATAGATTGGAAATTTCTTTTTCATTCAAATTCAAATTCCCGATTTTTGAAAAGCATGTGTTATGGTATAAATTGTTTTGTTTATATCCAGTGAAAACTGGTTGGCAGCAGTTTGTTTTAGGCAGCCAGCAAGTGTTAAGAATGTCTGGAGAGAGGACATGAGAATAAATACCATCACATAGAGGCTTATGCATAATGAAACATGTATGTGAAGGTAGCTGTTGTAAAGGCCTGGGCACCATTCCCAGGGTCCTGGGAAACAGCCCGTCATGAGCCAGCTAACAGTTTTCTGGTGGTGCTAGTGGGTTAACCCCTATGGACGTCACCTCATTAAATGTTTAATAAATATTATTTCTTTTCCCCCATTCTTTTCTGTCTTCTATTATAGATGAAAACATGTAAGTGCCCTCTGATGATTTTTCTTTGGCTTTTGAGAATATCTTCAGACCATGTTGTAGTCTGTCTCGGTTAGTTACTACAAAGTTGTTTTTATTCCTTCTTGTAGGACAAACTGACTGTGTTCCACTTCCCGTGAGGACAGCATGTAACACGGTTTTTCTCTTCTAGGTTGTGGGACTGGAAAATATCTCAAAGTGAACAGCCAGGTGTATACCCTGGGCTGTGACTACTGCGGGCCACTGGTAGAGATTGCCCAGAGTAGAGGATGTGAAGTCATGGTGTGTGACAACCTTAACCTCCCCTTTAGGGATCAGGGCTTCGATGCCATCATCTCCATAGGAGGTAAGGCAGCCTGGTCACATGGTCCTTCTTCACCATGACAATAGCATTACATGAACGGTGGAGGTCATTCTCACAACATTCGTTCTTTGTAGAAACGTGACTGTGATTCATTTTATCTAATTTTTAAAATTCCTTCAACTGGATTATTTGACTAATCCCAAATGTACATATGGTGGTACATAGGATTGTTTTAACTAGTTAAACCTTCACACTGGCACTGTCTTCTTTCTGATGATTCAGTCCAATGTCTTTTACTTATGAGTAAGAAAGCATGAAAAGGATGTTAATCACTGAAATATTTCATACTTTGTTTTATTGAGATAAAGCCAGGCTCTTCCAATGTGAAGTTGAACTTTAGAAGTCCTATTACCTACTTAAGGTCACGACTATGTCCTTTATTAGCAGAACACTGTAAGACTAATGCACCTGGCAGGATGTGTCATCTGATCTGCTACGCACTGGTGCATGACACACTGGGGAAGAGGCCCACCTGGTCCCGGACTACATCAGTTTTACATCACTCAGCTCTCTCACTGGCAGAGACTGTTCATAGTCTAGGGAATATGTTCTTTGTATATTCTCTGCAAGTGTGCCCCATAAAAACACACATGCCACAAATGAAAAGAAAAACAAAACCCCGTGCCTGAAATATACACAGGTATGGCTCATTGTACTCAATGTGTGTGATCCTGACACCTAGACTTTTAGTCCCACTGCAGCGTGCTAGGGGACCTGGCACCGAGTTCTTTTCCAAAGAGGAAAATCTCTTGCAAAGCAAATGATCTGCTCCAGTATACTTAAAATTAATCTACTTGACTCTAACACACTTCATCAAAGCAAGGTGATCCTATATAAAGCTGACTGACTAGATAGAAACTGGGAGATAAAAAAAAATACACGGTAAGACTGCTCTCCCCTGAAGGAAAGGAGGACTTGATCTATTCAGCAATAGAGGGGGACTATATCTTTGCACAGTAAGGGGATACAAGCCTGGAGGCCACAGCCCGGAAACTAGTCAGGACTGGCAGGAGATGGTTGCCATGGAAACCTGCTCTGGGACAGCCCTACTTATTTGCAGTTGAAACCCTGAAGTCCATTTTGGGTATAAACACTGCCAGGAGGGATTCCTGGTACACCAAGCAACTCATTACAGTGTTTTGAATCTTGAGTGGAAAGAAAGCTTTTGGGTTGGTTATTCCACCTAAAACAAGCAGAAATCCGGGAGAGGTCAGAGGAGTGGTATTATTCGCTCTTTGTGTTCGTTTACATTAGCTTTAGAGTCGGCAAGGCTGTGCCATGAGCCACCGTGGCGGCAGGGGTAGTGCCGGCTGTCCGACTTCTGGGAAGCGCTCCGTGTGTGCGTGGGTGTGTCTTTCTATGCTTCCCACGTAGGTCTTGCGCTTTATCTGCGGAAGAAATGCAACACACCTGGTTGCCACCTTCTGAAGAAAAAATGCTTCCTTAGATGGAAACATACCATGTATTTTTGGGAACTGTAACTGTATTAATGTGACGTGGTCATTTTCAGCGAGGTTTCACATTTAGAACTGCATTATGAAAATTGTTGATAGTCTGTCTCTCTTATTTCCATATATATATTTACTTCCCTATTTAGAATTTTTATTCCGCCATAAAAACATATGTTTTTCCATGTCTCTTTTTTTCTTTTTTTTTTTAATATTTATTTTTGAGAGAGAGACACACACAGAGAGTATGAGCAGGGGAGGGTCAGAAAGAGAGGAAGACACAGAATCTGTAGCAGGCTCCAGGCTCGGATCTGTCAGCACAGAACCCAAAACAGGGCTCGAACCCACAAACTGTGAGATTATGACCTGAGCTGAAGTTGGCTACTTAGCCAACTGAGCCACCCAGGCACCCCTGTTTTTCCATGTCTCTTAATAATAATTTGAGAGGTCAGCATCATATCTAATTATACATTCCATACGTTTTACTGACAGATTGGAGAAAGAAACCCTCTTCCCACTTACTTTGAGAATAGCTTGATAATTCTATGAAAATTTAGCAATATTTCACAACAGTGCCAATCAACTATTTATTTTATGCCAGTTGCTCTCAGTGTGGGGTTATGTTGCCCCCTTCACACTTAGAGGACACTTATCAATGTCTGGGGACATTATTGGCTGGCTCAACTGGACGTGTGTACAACCTCTGGCCATCTAGTATCTGGCCCCCTACAACAAAGAATTATCCAGCCCAAAGGGTCAGTAGTGTTGAGGTTGCAAAACTCTGCTTTATGCTTTCAGTTAGAGGAGACCTGCACACTGGAAGAGTTAAATATCAACACATCATAAAATATCAAGATATAACAGGGCTTTAAAGATGAACTTCTATAACTTCCCATCTAATTCTAGAATCTAGTACTTGAATTCAACCTACCTATTTTCTGGGGTGTCAGCAGGAACATGTGGCTATATTATACATATATTGAGTTCTATTTTTTTAAGTTTATTTATTTATTTTGAGAGAGATAGAATGCGCGCGCAAGTGGGGAAGGCACAGAGGGAGAGACAGAATCCTAAGCAGAGTTCAGCACACAGCTTGAACTCACGAACTGTGAGATCATGACCTGAGCCAAGATCAAGAGTCAGATTTAACTGACTGAGCCACCCAGGTGCCTCTATTGAGTACTATTTTTGCCTTTAAGTTGTGATTATGATTTTTAAACACAAAAGGGAATTTTTTTATCCTTTAAAAATATAATATAGCCTCCTAACATTGATGACTCATATAAATGCATTTCACATCCCATTTTGGTTACATTTATAACGCTTTTAAATAGAATATATAGATGCATATATATTTTTTAGATAATGAAGAAATCTTCATTTGTAACCTTTTTCCAAAAAGTTTGGCCTAAAAGTTACTTAGTATTACATGTCAAATATAAATATAAAACAATATAAAAGATTCAGGTATTTCCTGGGTGATATTATGCTATTAAAGTGAATCATCACATAACAGATGTTTAAGGAATGCACATATATACTTTCTTCCTTTAAGGAAAGACTTCTTTTGAGGCCCAGAATCCTAAAATGTTGAAGATCTATGAATCTGCTAAAAAGAGATTACTGTATCAAAGTAGTCCTGTTTTCATGATTTTTTTTTTCTTTTTTGGCCCCCAAAAGGAACGTAGTCAACTGTCATTATTCACAGTAATTATGTTCTATGAAGTCTCTGTGAAAAAATGCGGAGCCGTCGTTCCCAGGGGAAATACAGGACTAGGTTCCCGTGAGCCTCTGCTCGCTGCATTTTTTGTTAACTGATTAATACACAACCTTATTTTACATGTGTTTCCATATGAAGACAATTTATTTAATTTTAAACTCATGGCAACAGCCCGAACGAAGCGTACCTAACACCAGACATACCTCAGCCTTCACGTGCTCGGGAACCCCACACAGCGCTTGAGCACTATGCTCAGGGATCATTTAAAACGATGAAATCACCAACAAAAAGCACAAAGTGCGAGGACCGTGGCAGACAGACCATGAAAGGACACTTGCCGCCAGGGAGAAGGCTGCAACAAGCAGGCAGAGGTCCCCTTGCTCACCCTCCGACGGACACACGCACGTTGGGGGTTCAGGGCCACCATGTGCGTGCCAAGAAATGACCAGGAAAACACTGAGAGTGCTGTTTTGGGGGCTACAAGTAGATTTTGGTGAGTAGCAACATTGGCAAATACAGATAACAAGGACTGACCATATTTACCAGCTCTCTACGGCAGGTGAGCTGGAGTTTTATTTGCCTAAAACCACCACTACCGGCTGGACTATGGGGAGCATTTCAGGCCTGTCCGTCCCACCCTCCATCTCTCCCCTTACCACTCTTACCTGAGCGTAGTGTCCAGACTCCCCCTGGGACTAACTTCCTACTTGAGACACAGGGTAGGCCTCACCCCTGCATGTGGATAACAATCTGATTTTTTTTCCTTCACATAGTACTGTGATCAGAGTCCTCTCAGAACTCATAGACTGACACTTTCCACGTACTGTTTGATGAAAATAGGCCTGATAACACACTTAGGACTGGATAAAGGCAGTCTTACTTGAATTCCACTTTAACTTTGCAGGGACTGGAAGTAAGACAATGACCTATATGCTGATTTTTAAAAACACATACACGACCGCTTTATATTAATATTTTAAAAATTATAAGCAATCATTTGGACTTCTGCTGGGCTGGCTTATCTTTGCATGATCTAAGTAAGAAGACAATCTTTAACATTTTTTTCCACTTGTTTGCTTTATTAATTTTATTAATAATTGATTAGTGGTGTTAATCTTATGGTGCATAAGAAGTACCAATCATTCAGTAAAGTAAGGAATTATCTCCTAGACTTCTGTTGGGGAACACTTACCTAACACAGTGCTCCCATGAAAATTTCACTAATTCACTTCGGTCATCCTTCTAGTTAACAAATTCATAGGATTCGGAAACTGGAAGGATTTGGAACTTAACACATTTTTTATTTATTTGAACAAATTTAAACACATTTTTAAATGTTTTTTTATTTTTGAGCGAGAGAGAGAAAGAGCAGAGTGCAAGCAGGGGAGGGGGAGAGGGAGACACAGAATCTAAAGCAGGTTCCAGGCTCTGATCTGTCAGCACAGAGCCTGACACTGGGCTTGAACCCACGAACCGTGAGATCATGACCTGAGCCAAAGCTGGATGCCTAAATGACTGAGCCACTGAGGCACCCACACATTATTTGTCTTATTATAGATAAACAACCTGAAATCCATAGACGTTACATCATTGCCCAAGATTGTCTAATAAGTACAGGAGCCAAAGATAAGAATTCTATCTCCCCTAAAGCAAGGCTTTGCTCTCCCCACCAGGTGCCCTGCCCTGTAGGAAATACAGAGGTTTTACTGCGTGTTGAAATTGCATTATGTGAAATTGTATTATATTGAAAACACTAGTTTATAAATGCGAGAGTTTGTGAATGTGTATACACATTGAGATCTAGTTTCTTCTTTTTCAGTCATACATCATTTTTCTACAAAACAGAGGAGAATCAGAGCAATAAAAGAAATGGCCAGAGTCTTAGTTCCTGGAGGCCAGCTGATGATTTACGTTTGGGCCATGGAACAAAAGAACCGGCGCTTTGAGAAGCAAGATGTGCTCGTCCCGTGGAACAGGGCCTTATGCTCCCAGCTCTTCTCCGACTCCAGCCAGCCTGGCAGAAAGCAGCAGTGTGGACACCCAGAAAGAAGCCATCCCTACCATCCTCCGTGTTCTGTCTGTAGCTGCTCCGGTTGTTTTAAAGAGCAAGGTCATTCCAAACGGTCCCACAGCATGGACTATGAACCGATGATGGCCGGGGCCTGTTGTGCAAATATTTCTCAGGAAGGAGAGGAAGAAAATGGGTTCTATAACACTTTTGGAAAATCTTTTCGTTCCTGGTTTTTTTCTAGGTCTTTGGATGAATCAACTCTGAGGAAGCAGATTGAGAGAGTGAGGCCCCTGAAAAGTACAGAGGGTTGGGCCAACAGCACTATCTCGATCCAGCCTTCCAGACACTCCAGTTTAGACTTCGATCACCAAGAGCCATTTCCAACAAGAGAACAAACTTTAGATGAAGACGTGTTTGTGGACACTTCACAAAAACAAGTGGAGTGGCTGAGAGCACCAGCCACAAAGAAACCTCTGCACGAAGACCAGCAAGGAGGAGTTAGGAGAAATGGGGATGGGAATTTTCTGGAAAGCATCAATACCAATGTGAATCGTGTGAATGCAGGTGATGTAGAGGAAGGTAACCCTTCTAGTAAAATACTGAAAAGGATTTCTGCGGCCGACTCCACAGATTCCAACCCAGATGACACAATTTCTGTCGAAGAACAGCAGCCCATTTCAGATTCCAGAGCCTTTATGCGCTATTACCATGTGTTTCGAGAGGGTGAGCTCTATGGTCTGCTGAAGGAGAATGTGTCAGAGCTGCATATTCTGAGTTCTGGGAATGATCATGGCAACTGGTGTATCATTGCTGAGAAAAAGGACAATTGCTATTGACTAGATCATTTTAGACAATTCCTCCAAAAAGTGGACCGTGGTCTCTTCACAGGGCCTGGTATGGTTACCTGAACTTGCATCCAACTTTATTATTTTTAGTGCATTTTTGCTTTGGTTTGTAGAGATGATGAATTGATCATCTTTTAACTCTTTGGATGAACAGAGTCTGGCATGTAAAGCATTTGACAAAGGCTATTCATAAATTATTAACATAAGAGAAAAGCAGCAGCAGTATTAAAATGAACTTCAAAATGGTTAGGAATTTCTTTTCCCTGAAAGGTGAAATTATGATAAGGATACATGTATATCATTTTTCAGTATTATATGCGGATTTTAACAGATGCTGGTGGTTGTCCTTTTTTTCATTACTATTAAAGCAGAGTCAACATTGACATTAGTTTCAGGTGTACAACATAGTGATTTGACAATTCTATACAAGACTCTCTTTTTGAGTATGCCTTTTTCGAACAGCCTTTTTATAATTAAGGGGGGTGATTTCTGCTTCTCCGGTTATACTTTAGATCTGTCTGCAAGATAACAGGTAAGCCTGTTCCTTTGCACGCATGTAAATTGAATGATGTGATAAAATATTTTGTTGCCAAAGCCTTCCTCATACTTCAGAAAAGCCAGAGATGGTAGAGAGAGACAAGTTGTTACAAGGACTCTTCTAGATGATAAGCAAACTTGCTTCCAAATACATAAATGACAAGGCTTTCAATGTTTCTCGGAAGGTTTTTAAAGGCATGGTGAGCATGTATGGAGTGGTATGTGTAGGTATTAGAAATTGTTGCAAGTACCTGAGTGGTATTTTTCTGACCTTATTCGAAGCAGGAATGTCTACTTAAGACCAAGAGTGACGAAGGAGGAGTTTTCGTCTAGAATGATGCTTTTCTCATGAACTGAAGGGATATTTAGGAAATGAGAATTTGGTTGAAGCACTGTTTTATTTCAGCTCTCAATATAAATACATGGTTAAAGGGCAAGTTTTTGTCCTTGATAGAGGATCTGTTGTTGGATTTTTTTTAAAATCTGGGCATTTATCTTGTTGAAAGCCACATTGTGTTAGTTATATTAGGGATTTAGGCAGAATTAAGTCCTACGAATGAAAGGCTGAACTTCTGACACTCTGTAGACAAACAGAGGAGGTGCTGTGTGGTCACTATATCTGCTCTGATTTAACCGTGGGTCTCTTTAAACCCATGGTGGCTCAGGAGACACACATAATTGGGAGTCGACATTTGACAGAAGCTGTTTTAATCTGTGGACCACCTTAACGCTGCACAAAAATCCAATTCTTGTTTTGTGGAATATTTCATTTGTTTGGGGGTCTTTTTACCTTCAGTGATTGTGCTCCATCTTAAAATAACGATGCTACTTTCAAAGAGACGTAAGGGATTATTTTTAATGTTTGTCTGAGAATGACTGACATGTATAACTCTTTTGGCTTCAAAATAAGACCACATCATTGCCGTTTTGGTTGGTGAGGCTGTCCGGTGGAAAGGAGACATAGGACTTGGGTTGTTCAGTGTGGAGGGACCATGGAAGCAGACCTAAAAGTGGAATATAAATTAACGCAGTGTCTTCCATTTCTTAAATTAGGACATTAAACATGAGTATGAGCGCTATCTCGGTAGAAAGAAAATATTCTCAGAGTTGGAGAAGTTCTTGCAACTAAGGCTTGTTGGCCTTTTTATTGTGAGTGGATTTTTCCTCTCCTTGAGGCTTGTGGTCACTTGTATCTTTAATCTCAGGCTTGCTGCTAGAAATGTGCTTGAAGTCGTATCTTTCCGGTGGTAGTGGGCCACTTATGAGGAACTCAGTTTATCAGACTGCACCAAAAAAGCCTTGCGCTAACCTGTGTGAGCGACCCTATGCACACACCCTACTTTACATAGAACACTTCTTGAGAAAGACTTTCACATAATTTTGACAAGACTGTACCTAAGAAGCCACTTAATAATAGCAATCTTTCATTCTTCGTCTGCTGAGCACAAGAATTCTATGCATCCAGACATTATTTTGTACACAAATGCTTAACTGGTTGATAACCTCTCTTTGGTATATTCGTGTGAAAAGCACTCTTAACCCTAACTTCTGCCTTTGGAGATATGTACATATATGACATTGAAGAGCCAAGCTGATGTAAATATTGTAACCATTTAAAAATCTTGTTCTTTAGGACTGTCCTCAAAAGGAAATACAAATCATAAGCGACTGTAAGTATACACAGTTTACTTGCAAGCATTCAGTCTGCCTTAATTGGCTTAATTATAGAAGTCACTGATCTATCTGAAGCACTATGAAAACTTGGACTCCATTGTTAGTACTGGATCAAATAGTCTTTCCTGTTCCTTGGTGGCATCTCTGCAGAGTCCCACTATCTGAAGTAACCGGAAATGTTTGGGAGATGTCCAGAAGGTTCCTCCTTACTGGCTTACTGATACCTCACTGACCTATTTAAGGATTACATACAACAGTCAAATGATTTGGGGTAAACTGCATTAACATGGGGAAAGAATGCAATCAAAATAACATTATAGTGGGAAGCATGCATGTGACCTATGTAAATTATTACTTTTTAAATTGTCACTAAAGTGTCATGTAACTACCAAACCATGTGGCAACTATCTCAGGTTATTTTATTGGTCTGGTCCTCCTGTCTTATCACGCTGTTCTGTGCAGGATGGTGTACGATTCTTGTGTCTAGTTTGTCCTGTGTTCTTCCAAATTCTAGATGGCAATCAAGAATTCCTCTATATTTTAATTGACCATCAATTGAATGGGCAAAAATTGGAGGTAATCCAGAGAGAAAAGAATTCACATACAAATCATCCAGGAACATTAATGTCATTGAATATTAATGGCCACACACACACACACACAAAACACAGACTTTTTAAAAATAAAAGTAGGGGAGCCTGGGTGGCTCAGTCAGTTAAGCATCCCACTTTGGCTCAGGTCATGATCTCATGATTCATGGGTTCGAGCCCTGCATCGGGCTCTGTGCTGACAGCCAGCTCAGAGCCTGGAGCCTGTTTCAGATTCTGTATCTCCTTCTTTCTCTGCCCCTCCCCTGCTCATGCTGTCTCTCTCTCTCAGAAATAAATAAAACATTTTAAAAAATAACAAAAGTAAATGGGTTTGGAGGAGGACAGAGGGACTAACCAAGTTGTTGAACTTGGTCGGGAGCTGTGAGCACTCAGTTTGAAAGGGATGGAGGATAGGAGGTCTAACTACTGGCCAAGCAGAAGTGTCCTGGGATAAACAAATTCGGAAGGCTTGAGCTCTTCTCTGCTAGAAAGTATGAAATGATAATTATAAGAGCAGCTAACTTTTCCTAAAATCTAATAATTATTTTGTCTGTAATCCTCACCACAGCCCTCTGAGATAGACTTATTATTTCCATCTTGCAGATAAGGAAAACTGAGGCATAAAGAAATTAATTAAATTGCCTAATATCACAGTTGTAATTAGTATCACACATCTAGAGGGGGCAGGGTTGAGATTCAAATGCAGGCTGGCTGGCTCCCAGCCTGTGCTCTCAAGCACACCACCATATACCCCCAGTCATGGTGGAGGCAGATTATAAGAGCGTTTCAAGGTAAGTGTGATTAATCTCTTTACAAATGAACTTGAGCAAAGTTAAGCAAAGCTTTCACAGTTACACAATAACTGGATAGTAATCCCTATGTAGCTCCCCCATCTTTACACCTATTTTTTTTTCATTTGTAAGTCTATCTCAATTTGAATTAAAAAAAAAAGTCTTTGGTCACAAAATGCTCTGTGATCACGTCTCTCCAATTCTTCCCACCCTTTAACCATTGTATTACTGTTTTTCCATTTTATACATGTCAGAAAATGGAGGCTGTTCAGACATTTCACTCCTTTTACTTGTTGACTAAATCCTGCTCTGTGCCAGATACGTAGGATATAAGGCAGTGCATATCAGGTGTGTTGAGTATATGCAGAATATTAAAATTAAGTGACCTGAAAAGTGCCTCCCAGGATGGGACAGTTTCGTGTTTGTTGTATACCTACAACCAACCACATTGTACTTACTGTTTAGTTGAATACATGAAACCCCCTCTTAGAGAATCACCGTACATATTAGCATATTTAAGGCCTACCCTAAAGTAATCTTGGACTTAACTGAGCTTGCCCTTGGCACATGAACATCCTCCAACACAAGCACTGTGAGAAACATATTTAAGAAAATAATGTGTCCAATAGAATAAAACGCAGACTCCTTTGGATGGCACCCAGGCTCTTCCTAAACCGACTGCCAACTGTTTTTCAGCCTCATCTCTTGCAATCACACCCACTTTTTCTGTTCTGCAATCTGCTTTAAACAATGTCTTTATTAGAAATTATATAATGACAAGCAATTACGCATCCCCTAGATATAAACTTGGATTTCTTTTTTTTTATAAACTTTTTTTTTTTAAATATTTTTATTTATTTCTAGGAGAGAGAGACAGCGTGAACAGGGGAGGGTCAGAGAGAGAGGGAGTCACAGACTGAAACAGGCTCCAGGCTCTGAGCTGGCAGTCAGCACAGAGCCCGTCGCGGGGCTTGAACCCACTAACCGCGAGATCATGACCTAAGCGAAAGTCGGACGCTTAACCGACTAAGCCACCCAGGCGCCTCTAAACTTGGATTTCAAATGCCATCATTGTAATCCCTCTCCAGAGAAAAATGCATGGCGTGGGCTTCACTCCACCAATTCAAAGGGCATATTAGGTAAGTGTTATCACATACGCATCCAGCAGATGGAAAAGCCATGGGAGCAGAAAGGCGTGACAGAGGCTTCCGCAGACCCCAAACCAGAATGCTCCCCTCCTCTTTTCCCAGCCTTGACTCCAAACTATGATTACTGGTTTCATTGTATATACTCTGGGTCAATCATCCACAGAACTGGAGCGGGAGCATTTTACAAGAACTCTCACCAACCAAGAACAGAAATTACGATGCAGATAGAAAGTTCCCAGGCATGTCACAAATACACACACACACACACACACCCCTAAGACTGCTGATCAAAGAGAAAACACTAACTGTGATTCGTCCCATTTTTCATTCCCTGCGGGTCGCACAGTATGGGATGCATTAGTAGGAACGTCAGTCAGTCCTTTCATATTCTGTCCCCTCTGGATGCAAGTCTTCCCAAGTATTAGGCGCCTGTGATGGCCTATCTGGATGGGGTTAGGGCTAGCATGCCATCCATATGCCCAATCTGATGGACCACTTGTGAGAACCCCTTGCCACACTTGATCCCTCATTTGCCAAATAAATATACATTTTGTCTCTTCTTCAACTGCCCCT